TGCTGTTGGCAGCCTGAAATCAGCAGCTCCATTCAGCTGTGGTTTCAAGTTTCTGCCTCTTGCAGAGTTTGGTAGGAACCAATTCATGGCCAAAAAATATATGGGGGAGAGAATAACAGTGAGATGGCAAGCAGCACAAGCCTTGTTATTTTGGAAACCGAGGTAACAAAAGACAATATTGTCATTAATAACACAACCACAGAGAGATGTCAGGGGTGGTGACTTGCAATGTCCAAAGGAGTTTCTGTGCTGGGAACAAGGGCATCACCTGGTCCAAACTACCTCTGAGAGAGAACAGACACTAAAAGGCTTAATCCAATGATGTATGACTATAGTGTACCAGCTAACACTCATTTAGTTCACCTCAGAAAAAGCAAAACGAGAAAGGATTTTAGGTATTTCCCACATAGACTTTTCTAATGAAGACATTGTCATATCTCTCTGTAGACACTAGACAATGTCAACAGGTTTGGTAATTACCTACAGCTCTAAAATTTAAAAGTCTACAAATTAATTAGACACTGCTCCAAAATTCACAAAGTGCAGCTTTGAGGCTGGGCAGTGACTTTGCCAGGACTCAATCCAAAAGCTCTTGCCAAAGCACTTAAATGCAAAGACCACTGAGTTTCACCTTCCTGAAGTGTCCTACATCCAGAATGTCTATTCCTGAAAAGATCGGCTTTTGAAGAAGTTAATATTAATATTATAAAATTCCAACTCTTCTCTATCTTCCTCAAAGTACAAAACCACCAAGATATACTGAGAAACAAACTTTATTCTTCCACGACTTAAGAGTTCCAGAGGATTTGACTCCCCATTGTCTCCTTGGTCTCTATTCCAAACTTTAAAACTACAGTCATTCAAAATTCAAATATGTTGGGTTTTGCAGTGGGCATAAGCAAATACAGACTTTTCTCTACAAAACAGTTTCATTGATGCTCCCTTTCAGATAGATCATAAATGGATACCTTTGTCTCCTTATAAACTGCTGGTGGATGGAGCTACATCTGTTGTCCTCTGGTCAACTGTAACATTATTAAGAACCAAATGAACACAAAACCAAACACTTTTAAGTAGCATAAAATATTAAGAGCAACTCATACAGCCTCAGACAGCAGCCATTAAATTTATTTTTAGGGACAAAATCCTCTCATTCAATAAAAACATGACAGATGATGAAATTTATTTAATTCCTGTGTATTAAGTTGTGAGACTAAGTGAACGGAAGCCTATTTGGGGAACAGTCCTGGGCTGGATTTGCAGCCCTGACTAATGCCTAAATACTGATATTTGTGACTGAAAGCTCCAGAAAAATCGAGGTCTTTTGAGGTCCTTGGGAAACTGAATGACATGAGAGGGACAGTGTCAATGGTTAAGAGCACAGGAACCTCCATGTGTTAGTCTGGAGTTAGAGATCAATTAACCACAACTCAGAAGTGCTTTGAAGCTCAAAACCCAGCAATGCACAAATCTATATTTAATTTGCAGTCAGTGTAGGAGTTAAAAATGTATCAGAAGCTATGTACAAAGTATATATTATAAACCACAAAATGAAATAAATACGAACATGCACTACCAACAGCCTCAGCAATTAGAGATGAATACTTCACTATAATTTCTTTTAATGCCTCCTGATTTTAACAAAAATTTATGAACAACCAACCCATTTAAGTTACAAACAGTTCATGTGTATCATTATTTGCATCATCCAAGACCATATTTTTCCTGCATATTTCTCTTTCTACCACAAGGAGTATTGTAGAACTGGAGAGGTTTTCTTGCCCTTGGGCTGTTCACAACCCTGACTCCATCCCTCCTTCGAATTTCTGCATTCTTCAGAAATCTGAGATACAGTGGGCAGATCAAAACATGTCCTTGCTTCAAAACACATTTTAGGCAATCTTAATGATATGAGAGCACTGTAAAGTAAGAAAATGCAAAGTTACCAGAATTTCCTGAACAGACTGTGTGTGACCTCAATTAGCCATCAGATCAGCTACACAGAAACACGGATGCTTGAAAACATGAAAATCAAGATTAACTGAATTGGGCCAATTTGTAGAAATTCTACATTGCTGCCTTAACAGGCCTGAGAAAAATAATAACTCAACCATCCCAAAAGCAACCAGCCTTTTGTTCAGTTTCTGTAATCTTCTAGAATTAACCAGAAAAATTTTAGCCCTGAGGCCAAACTTTGTGTTCTTCCTACTAACTGCTTTTTAAATGTCTACAGGTCCACACTCTTTTATTTTGAAAAATTATTTCAAAAAAAGGAAAAAACAGGCACATACTGAAGCAACAAATTTAAACTCCATCTAACTCACCAAAATAACACAGAAATTGGGTTTTTTTCTGACAAAAATATTTCACAGTTCAGATGCAAATTGAGGAATTAAATGTTTTTTTTTTTAATATAAACCAGGTGAGAAATTTGAATGAAGTGACTTAGTAGAGCCATCCAGTTGAGTGCAACACTCCCTCCCCACCTCAGTGCTTCCCCACTTTGCCCACTAAAAATTAGGAAATGCAGAACTTATATCAGAAAAGCATTAGATGCCAATAGAAAACTTAACTCTGTCTTAACATCTTAGCTTCTTTTTCAATCTGTGATGCTCCCCCGAATGTAACAATCACAAATTTTCTTTGATTTTTAGTGGGAGTTTTAATCAGAAAAGCTAAACTGGCATCTTCTGACCCCTACTTCTCACACTACTGCTATACAGACAATGCAGGGATGGCAGTAGCATTCTCTGGACATATGGCTATATGAATACACAGACCATCAGGACATTAAGTAATTTACAATTAAATTTACAATTTAAGTAATTAAGTAAATTACTGTTTCCCTTATGTCCTTCTTTCTCCTTTATGGGGAGAGACCTGCATTAGGTTACATCTTCAAAGTTAAGTGTTTATTATCAAAAGTAACACCAAAAACACTAATTCCTTGTATTAATATCAAGATTCAGTGATTTTATGTCACTCTAACTCTGCATTTATTGTGGAGTTCTTACTTAACCCTTCCCTTCAAAAAGCTGAAGAGTAGCTGGTGAAAGTTTCACACCACATATGTTTATATGCACACACACACCCCCAAAGAAAATCTTCCAGGTAGCTTTGCTTGGCTTCTCTTCAGACCTTGTCATGAGGAACACTCTGAACTGAAGCCCAGATTTCACCACCAACACCAAATGTTCTATTCTGCATTGAATACTTACATGACTACAAGATCTCCTGGAGAAAGTGGGCCTTGAATAAAAAACAAAATCATCAAAAAAACTCTTCCAAAAAGATACAGAAGTCACTGTTCATTGTCCACCTCCATTTAGGGCCACTCCTGTTTAGGATTTAGCATAGAGTAGAAGCACAAGGCTCAAACTGGACACAAATAGATCCTATGCCTAGGAAATTTTTTTTAAGGTATCAAAGAAAGATTCATACAGAGCCCCTAACACCACACAAAAAGGAGGTGCCAATTAACATTCTGCTTGCTTGGGATTTTTTCCAAACCAAAAATAATTATGTAGAGGCATCTAAGGTAAATTATTCACCATTTTAAGAGTCCAATGCAAATTTGTATGTAGAGGGATTTATAAGAGTCAGCATTAGTCACACTAAAGGCATAGGAATACACCCCGAATTGTTTTGTTTAAAATAACTAGGATACAATACAGTTTAGACTATCAGGAATATTATTACTAGCAAAAATACACAAAAATACTTTCAGAAATGGAAGGAAGTATGATACTCATGTATTTTTACTATTATATTATATTTACTATTAGAAAAACCCTACCACTCCTTTTGGATATTGGTCTTAATAGAGATCATCTAGAATAAAGGCATAGGCTGAAGGAAGAACTCCATTATTAGAGCTGTTCCAATTCCTTTGGACCTTAAAACCCTCTACAATTCTGCCAAGCTTTTACCATCCTCTCCTCAAAGTTCAGCTGAGTAGACTGATCCTGAAAGAGGGAAATGACAACACAGCCACCTGCTTACAATACACACAAAAATAACCTGGAATGCCAAACTTGGAGTCCTGTTGACAACCGTGACTTTTTATGTGCCCTTTTGCTCTGCACAGTCTAAATCCTAAAATAAGAAATGACCTTTTTTTTAATGGGAAACCTGGTTAGCAATTTAAAGCCTGCACCTTCCACAACACAGCTGGGAGTGGACTGCTAACAATAAACCTTCCACTTGTTAAAGGGCAGCATTTCAGTGGCACCTGGAACATCTATTAACTCCTGCCAGGTGATCAAGGCTCCCTCTTGGTACAGATTTCATCTCATTTAATGCATTCATTTTCAGGTGCAGTTATAGACTCTTATTGCCCCTTTGTGTACTCTTCATCCTCCATAATAAAAAAATGCAGCCCAAGCTGCATTTGTCTGGACTCTTGACAGGGAATTCAAGTTGTCTGCTTTACTTCTTGCCTGGAAAAGAGAGTACTGATACACAGCTACTGGTCAGAAAGAAATAAAAGGAATCACATTACTTCTCACAGTCATCTAGTCTATAATGAAGACAGCAGTATGTACATGAAAGCATAAAAAATAAACCATTATTTCTGCTAATTCTTGTTACTGAAAATGGATTTAATGAAACTTAAGCACATGAAAACACTGCATTCTTTCAAAAACTCAACAGTTGCAAATGAAATTGGCATCTAAGGAATTGTGATGCATCAGAAAGACTTATGCAACATCTCAAAGGAACAGGGACTAACCAAACCAAATTATCTACAGGCATCTAGGCACGAAGGGGGGTCAGGCTGATTTAAAAGGTTTTACACAGGGTGTTCATATGTACTGATGTCCCTTAGAAACACATGAGAAAGAAAGGAGTCACATCAGAGGCTTCCAACATCATCCCATGATTTTCCACCAGCTTTAAAGCTAGGAAAGTATAACCAACCCTGCATAAACAAAATGAGATTACAAGCAAGACAGTAATACCAGAGAAAACAGGGAGGGTTTAGTAAATCAAGTGAACAAGGACTATTGGCTCAGTTGGTCAGGGTTTAATCCTGATAAAGCCAAGGTTGTGGGTTTGATTCCTGTATGGGCCGTTCACTTTAGAGCTGGACTCACTGATCCTTGTGGGCTTCTTCAAACTCAGAGTATTTTGTGATTCTATTGAGACCACTGAGATGAGGGGGAAAAGAAATAAAAAAGCAGTGTTATATTGGTACTTGTGAACGGGGTGTGCCAAACATGAGGGAGACAAGTAATGGTTTCACTTTGTACAGTGCTGATAAGGGCTGGGCTAAAATACCAGGCGTGAAATTCCCTGCCTCCCAGGCACTGCTAATTAAAACACATTTCAGGAAGTGCACTTGAGCCCACTTCCCTTCAGAGGAAGTTCTCAATGAATGTCTGCCAGGAAGTAACCCAGATCCTTCCCTTACCACAGCACACACAAACCAACCTTGGCAACCAGCACTTGCTGGTCCTGCTGCCTATCAAACTGGCCTTTTTTTTCCCTAAATATTTTATAACATGTCAGTACATTTGTATCTCCTAATATTCCTTCTCTTGTAAGGACACTCATTACAACCTAACCCACACTACAACTCGAGATGTTACACCAGTTACAAACACTGCCATGAAAGAGAACAGGAAGCCTGGAAAGCTTCACTCCGTTTTTAAGGTAAAAATTGAAATTTTCAAGCCTTGGAAAACATTTGAATCTATCTGGTTTGCATTTTGGTCTTCTTACGTTTTCAGAAAATTCTCTTCAGGTTTTCTTCTTACAACACCAAGGAATATTTGGACATGCAAGGTGGATAGGGAGTTGATTCTAAGTATCTGAAACCTAAACATACTGGAAAGTTAAGAAATCTACCACCTAGCAGTGAGGTGGTAGATTGATTATTGATTATTTCGTATCAGAATGGTCTTGTTCAAAGATTCAGAATATCCTGCTGCTTGTAGAAACTTTCCTAGACCAGCATTAAACATTTTTGTGCATTTTGTAAACAACAGCCAGTGCAGACCTTAACCCATTAACCAAGACACAGGATCAAAGGCCAATTATAAATTACCACTGAGCAGGCTAAGTGTTCTCAAAGAAGCAGAGCTACAAACTTTACCTCAAATAATAACTAGAATATCATTACTCAAATCTGCCTTTTAAACAGGCAGGAAGGGAGCAGCAGCAGCACTGCATGGCCATCCCTGGCATCATCAGAATGTGCTGCTGCAGGCCCATCCAAGCTGCATTACAAAGCAGTACTATTTACAGAGTTAGACTTTTTTCTGCTTGATGTTTCCCTATTCACATTTACCAGAGGGCTAACAACCAAAACAAATATTTTGTTTGGGATACAGAAGACCTTTGGCACCTCCAGGGGCAAAACTGAAGCTCTACTTCATTCTATCTCGATAACATATTCCAAGATAATCCAGACAGGCTGAAGTTTTACTGAACTCCACAGAGGGATGAGACAATGCAGGACAATACCCCAAACACTGAAATTTATTTCCCCAAGCCCGCTTAGTCCCCTGAAAGAGACAACAGTTGCTCTGGGGACAGGCTGAGGAGTATAAGCTATGCTGAGCCAAGGCCAGGACAGAGCTCAGAAAGGCATCAGGCACCACACAGAGTGGTTTGTGTTCCTTCCATCCAAACTCATTGCTTTGAAACCCTGGTGGTGCCTGTCAGCTCAGACAGAGCACAGAGCCCTTGGAAGGGCACAGCCTGAGAGAAGACGATGTTCTGTGCTGAACTTGTACACGTGTGAGCCCAGCCTGCCTGGAAGAAGCTGAAGTTTATCATAACCTTGGTGGCAAAGTAAATCTTTCTGCAATCACCCAGAAGTCCAGAATAACAAACCAGTCAAGAAGACCAGCAAAATTCCACTTCCAGAAGCCAGGAGGAGCTATAAGCATGTAGGTCTTACTGGCAAGAAGCAACATCCATTAATTAGCTTTACACTTGAGAAAGGAGTAGTTGTTCTTTACACCTTCAAGTGCCAACTGAAATCTTTTGAAACACATTTTGTATCGAGAAAAGCCCTGAATGGATTAAAACAAAATTACATGCATAACACCCAAAATACACAAGAACCTAGATCTCTGAGATTTCACTAGGGAAGCATTTTTAACCATAAGAGATAAAAAGGAACATTAATTTATCCATCTGCAATACTGTATTTAAACAAGTGTTATGCTGGATACAACAAGGTTTCTCATCCAACACTAGTTTAATTCCACCTGAAATAAAACTGTAAAGTTGGAAAGCACCTGAAGTCACTTCAGTAGAGGTACAATCCAGAGAACATCCTTTGGAAGATGCTCCTTAGGTGGAAGGACTGGTAACACATAATGCCAATGGCTGACCAGCTTGTTTGAAATCACACAACATGTACATGTAAAATTACACATTTTTATCTAGACAATGCCTGCACCAATACCATGCTCAAACACTAGCCTCAGGAATAAGTCAGAATTATAAAGTTAAACAGAACTGCTGCTCATAATCCCTTCGTATTGTATGATTTGTGTCTTCTGCACTTACTATCTGAGAATCATAGTAATATTTTGGTTAGAAAAGACCTCTAAGACCATTGAGTCCAAGCATCAACCCAGCACTGCCAAGGCCACCATTAAACCATGTCACCAAGTGTCACATCTACATATTTTTTGTGTATTTCCAGGGATGGGGACTCAAACAGTCCCCTGGCAGCCTGTTCCAATGCTCAACCATCCTTTTGGTGAAGGCATTTTTCCTAATATGCAATCTAAACCTCCCCTGGAACAACTGGAGGCCATTTTCTCTTGTCCTGTCCCTTGTTTCCTTGAAGAAGAGCCCAGTCCTCTGTCTACAACCTCCTGCCAGGGAGCTGTAGAGAGCAGTAAGGTCACCCCCTTCAGGCATTCAGAGATTCTGGATGATGTTAGCAGAGTCATTTTGTCAAGTTTCCTGCTTTTCTCTTATGGTCTTGATACCTGGTGAGTTAAATATAGAACTGCCAAGTGATTCCAGTGCTGTTCAAATCAGCGAGAGATCTGCTCCAAGTGCAAATTTTAAATGTTACAACAAAAACAGGCATGTCAGAGCCCAGACTCCAAAATGAAACCTTTTATCTTAAGTTTTTTGACTCCATCCACTACAAATACTAATAAAACCGTAAGATGAATGCGTGAAGGCAGCACACTTGGAAACTCCATCCTGTAAGAGGGAGGCTTGAATACTGTCATGAGCAGACAAGGGTACTGGAAGCAAACAGGTTGTCATTCTATGGAACAAAGTATGTGATCACATGATGAAAAGACTATCATGGTACAAGTAACAGCTTGACTTTTTGCAGTTTGAATACAAAAAGTAACAGTTTATAAAGCAGCTGGATAAGTAACAGATGCAGTGTATTTTTTTGTCATTTCCACTGGAACGGTCATTGCAGTATTTGCATATACAACACCACTTGCAAAGAGCAAGTAGCACTAATCCCTTCCTCTTACCAAATCCTCAGCCAGAAATAAGAAAACATTCACAGAATTCAATGTAAACCTGACAAATCAGAAGTACTTGCAATCTATATTTAAGAGTAAAGAGTGAAAAATCTTACTCTGTGTTGTGTTTCACAGCCTTGTTATTCACTGGGCTGGTTTTCTATAAAGTCTTATCTAGGCAGGTACTGCAAGATATTTACCTAACAAACTAATAAATACTTTGTTGTCATGGTTTTACCAGGATATGACTCATTAGAACCATGTATTCCAGGGAGCAAATGGCTTCAGTTCACAAAACAGACAAGTGCACTCTTTTGCTTGTGACATCAGAACAGTCAGAGCTGTTCCTTTCAAAAGGTCAAACAAAATTCAAGGAAGCATTTAAAACCCCCTGAAATCACAGATCTGATTTGCAGGCCTTTATATATGATTACACGTTTTGCACCAACCCCCCTGCCCTTGTTTTCTGGATTTCCCACACTATTAGCTTTCCATGTCCAGGAAATATTTTTCAAGCGTCTGGGTTTCCATCTGAATCATAAGTCAGAATTAACATAAGGCATAAGGCTACAAATTTTGATTTTAACTGATAAAAATATCAGTACTGGTTCCAGCTGAAGTACTTCAGGTTTTTCCAACTTCAGTGACAAAACAGAAGACTGCTGTTTTTTTAAGCCATTCAAACTTTCTCTTTGGAGTGGTAAGAGTAGGTGGAATTCCTTGGAAAAAACTAACTGCATAATATAAACAAACATCATCCCATACCAGAAAAGGGAAGGAAGAAATTGGAGAGGAGAAGCAAATATTCTTCATAAACTTGAAAACTGAAGCTTAAGAAAGGCTGCCAACATCCAGAAGTAAGCGACTGAAGAATAAAGACATCTATCCCTGCAAATTTAGATGGTCAGGAGACATTAAGTGACCCTCTGCTGATTTGTGAAGATGAAAATCCATATATTATGGATACAAGATCACAGCCTGAAGTCCCATTAGGAGCCTGCTCCATGTGAAATGCAAGCAGCCAAATCTCCTTGGTTCTCAAGTGTATCACAGTCCAGGCAAGAACATTAATGACTCTAAACCATGTGATATCAAACTTTTAAGTAAGGGTAACCATATCTACCAGTTAGATTCAAAAGTGCTCCTGAAGTAGCAGGAGATGAATTTTGTTACCAGCCAAAGCAATAGGAAAAAAAAAATTAATACAGGGTCTCAAACCACCAATCACAGGGAAGGCTGTAGAAAGGGGGAAACCAAACCACAAAGAAAAAACAAGGATCCAACAAGTTATTCTAGCCACACTCAAATGTAAGAATATTCCAAACATGCATATATATGAGCAGCAGTAAAGGCAGAAGTCAGAAATACCAACTATACTGAGGAGTAAAACTGAAATTTTCTAATATAACCATTCACCCTGGAGATGGGGGGGTCACAAGGAATCAAAAAAATGCAGACCAGAAATCAATTCCTCTAATACAAAGAATATTGTGGCTGTAACTTCTCTACTCCTGCTTTCAGCTAAACTTCAGATCAGGCCAAGTGCCCCTACAGCAAAGGTTTTGCTTTGTTAAGATCCATTTCTTCTGTACTACAGAAAAGCAGAACATGAGAA